ATGATCGATGTGTTTGGGTCTACAGTCGAATCGTAGTGTAATCGTAAGGCCTGGAGCCATAAAGAATTCTATGTCAGGACATAAGGAAGATTAGTAAACACAAGTATTTACTGCTCGTCTTCAATTCGTGATCAACTCACGGTCATGATTCAACCTACAAACCTGGATTTTACTGTTCTACCTCAAGAGTCAGTATCTATTTACTAATGAGTATTGAATTAAGTTAGATTTTGATACATCGACATGTAAGTTTACAAGACACTAACGATAATTTTAATGCCGTGGTAGGTTCAAGATAGATTGTGCGTGAAGGTAGGCCTAAACTTTATAAGATTCGAACTTCGTTTTATGGGTTTTGCAAACAATTAAGTTATAATTCTTTGATACATCAATGTGTATTAGACAATACGCTAACGATTATATTATAGGTCTAAACGGTGTAGCGTCGAGCTTGCGGATAAGCAGGCACAAACTCAATCAGTTTTAACAACCGTTTGTAAATGCCATACTTTTAGTGGCAGCCATCTTCGATGAGGACAAATTGCCAGCGCGATTAATCCTTAAAGAAGAATGCAATTATTTTGATACTGTTAACAGATTTGTCGTTCGATATCACACGCGTTAATTCCTTCGTAGTTTATCAAGCAATTTATTAGATATAAAGTATAATTAGGGTAATTACTCACTGGCCGTTCCTATGCGCAATCATGAAAGGTCACACGATATTGCCGAGATTATCTCAGTTTTGTTTAGTGTTAAGATTGCATATGTTTTATTGAAATGGAAAGTGTCACCGGTGTTTGTATTTTCCGCAATGTGTTATATGACTTGTGTCTTGTGTAAACTATCAATTTCAGAGATTCTATATATAGAATTAGGATTAATTTCATCGCAAACAAGACTTTAGTGTTATTAACGACGTCACTTTAAAATAATGTAGTAGCAACAGCGCATAGCAACAGGGCAGCGATCCATAACCAAACCAGCGCTAATAGCCAGTGTTACTTATTTATTCTAATTGTTTCTCGCTCTCTGGTGGAGTTTTATTTATACAGTACTTATTTATTGAGTGATTTAAAGCCACTTGCTAATAGGCCTAATATATGATTTTTTTTTTATTTTTTATTTTTTTTTTTGTATACTATGACATTGTTAAAGTGCTTCGACCGGTAGGATGTAATTATTGCTGAGTGGACTTCGATTATTGCACCTGAATTTGCTCCTTCGTGTAAAAATTATGTCATTGCGGTCCCGCTTTACGTCACACGCAGTGCAGCATGATAATAATCTCTTATCCAAACTTATCCACTAATTATGATAATACACACATTCTATAAGTCTTATGTTCTAATGATGTATATACTAGTGTATGTCTGTATTTTTATTGTAGCAATACTAGTTCAAAAACAAAGACAGGTCGACAAAGTTAGGCCTAGTTAGGCTAGGTCTTGTATTGTATTATTCCTTCGAATTTATCCTTGTATTTTTCATGCTTTATCTATTTTGATATTATATTTTGGCATTGAAAATCTATCTAGTCTTAGACCTTGTATTCAAACCAGCCGTGTTAATCGATGTAGGTCTATAATACCGAAAGGGTTAGAATAATTCTGATTAACCGACAATGACCAATGACATTCTTAAATGATATGTCATAATGTTATCAAATTTCGTTGTATTAACTGTGTTTTCCAATTCAATCATGATACTTAATTACGGAAATTTCTTTTTATTCTCAGCAAAATAAGATTGAAATCAATATTAGTTTTATTTATTTTTTCATTCTTTTTTTTTTCTTTTTCTTTTTTTTTTTATTAGTAAACTCTAAAAATTATACAATCGGAACTATCAGGTCTGATAGTAAATAGTATTCCACAACGACAGTCAGATAGGCCTACTATATTATTTTATTAGTGTCTGTTTGCTGAATAAAGTGACTCATTACACTGCACGGCGTGAACAGTGAAGCAAGATAATATGTTTGACCGAAAGACAGGAACTGATTCGCGTGAGTTCCGCCTAATTCTACACGCATTTACAAATGGGTCATTCAATCAATCGCGCACGAATCTGCCTATATACTCGCAACATTGCCTCCGAATTACCAGAAACAATTAGTGGCACCGAAGACGACAAGAACAAACGAAGGCGAGTTTGATGGCCGAGCGGTTAAGAAGAGGTCATAATCAGTGGCGGATATCCAAGAATTTAAAATAGAAAGGGGCCCAAACAGGGACCTTCACAGATAGAGGGTTTGTACTAAGAAAATTTATGATTGTTGCACCTCTAGATGGCCGGAAATGGTATCTCAAAAATTTAGTAGAATTTTTTTTTTTTAAATTAGTGGAGGGGAGCTTTCCCCCACCCCCGAATCCGCCACTGATAATATCGGCACAGGTAGAACGGCTCACCTACCGGTTCTGGTGGTGGAACAAGTCTTCTCGAATAAGGGCTCATGTGCACATAAAGAACTCAGTACATCTTTCGAGAGGAGTAGGGGGTTACCCCGGTATACTGGTCCATTCAGCCTCTGACAGGCGAGAGCAGTTGGTACCGTGCGTGGGGGTGGGGGGGGAGGCACACACTAGACTCCTTAGTTGAGAAGCAAGTTACTGTAAGAGCTAATCAAAGCGACATCGGGCGCTTTGGGACCAATTCGGTATAAAGCTCTATATAAATCTAACTACATTACATTCAAGTCTACATTACATTACAATGAATACCGGTATGTTATCTGTCTAATAAACTGTTAAGTATTGGCTTCTTCAAAAAAGGGAAAACTTTGACAACCTTCATAGAAACGAATTGTTTTATAAGCATAGGAGAGCGCTATGACACAAGTTCTTGAGGAGAGAGGTGAGGGCTGAATATTTCGGTCACAGTTTACGGAGGATGATGCCATTTGTCTGTAGAAAAGTTAATGGTTAAAGGTTATGCATTTATACCGCAACTGAATTGAATATGGGGACTAAAAGCAACTTGGTCGAATAGAGGTTTCCGCAAAGCCCCGCCCCTTGGACACTGTTGCTAAGGTCTAAACGACAGTGTTAAAAACCTACGCAAACACGTGCGTACGTGAGACACGCACGTATTCATGGTCTTGTTCTGATTGGTGGTCAGTTGTTAAGTTTGATTGACACTCTGAAAAGGTCCATTGATTAGTTGGATGTAGCCCAAAGCAATTTTTTTTTAAAGTTTTCTGATGTTAAGAAACAATGAGCAGCAATAACCAAAAATAAAACGTTGGGTTTAAAAAAGAAGAGAAATGTGTACATTTCTAACTCTTTCCGGTAATTCGCATGTTCGATGAACAGTGAAAAAAGTAATTGGATTTGGCTATTTCAATTTCATGGACAACAAGATTCCTTTATGTTCCATGAATTTAATTCTATATTGTTTTGTTTTCCTTACTCTGAATTAACTTAGACTAAATGTCTACCTGTCTTGAAAGTGTAATGGATTGTTGATCACATCTTAAGTATATATTGACTCTTCTGCATATAGACCTTATTACAGTGATCATTTCGAATGAAGGTATTTCTATTATATATGTAAACTTATTACGGTTCATAATAATGGAATATCTTGTACTAAATACCACGTGCTACCAATCTGTGGCCATTCAATCATTTTCTTTCATCACTGCAGTGCCCTACTTCTTTGAAGTCGCAAAGCTAGATAATTTCAAAATATTGTGATTAGTTCATTCTATTAAAGTAGTTACATCACGATAGAAGCGTATCTAGGGAAGGGGGTGCGCGGGCAGCGCACGTGCCTCCAAAAAATACTCTCCCCTCCCCCAGTCGCATCCTAAAACAATCACGCTCAAGTAGTTAAAATCAACTAAAATTACCTTATTTTGTGAGCTAGCGGCCCTCACCTAATAATCAAGCCCCCCCTACCACGTGATCCTCTTCCCCATCAGATTGAGATTAGTCTCATTGAATTATTATTATTATATTATTATTATTATTATTATTATTATTATTATTATTATTA